ATAGGTAAAAGTAAAGGTTGAATTTCATTATCTTGTAGATATTAGCAGTGAAGACAATATCAAGACAATTCTATTTCATGGTACTTCTCATGTTGACATATCAACTTCTAGTCGTATTGGCCAGTTAGATCACATATCAAGTATTACAGCATGCCTATGGGTGAAGACGTCTCTTCAGAGAAATGAAATAACACTGTGGTCATACGCAACTGCGATGAATGACAATGAATTCCGCATGTTGTACACAACAAAGTATTACTACTATGTCATAGATACACAAGTCATTGTGAGTTATGATCAACCGCTGAACGATGGCAACTGGCACCTAGTATGTGGGATGTGGAGTTCCGAGAAAGGTGAATGGTATATTTACAGTGATTACACCCTCATAGAGTCTGGAACTGAGATGGGAATTGGATTGGTCATACAAGGTGGTGGTATGTTCATACTTGGTCAAGAGCAAGACCAGTTAGGTGGTGGATTTGATAGCTGGGAAGCACATTATGGCCTGATGTCCGGGGTGAATGTGTGGGATTACATACTAACAACTTCTGAAGTATTAAGCATTTTTCGTGGTTTGACGGTGACAGATGGAAACTTATTTTCATGGACTGGGAACTTGTCTTATATTGCATACAATTCACTAGAGATCTATAAGACCTCTTCAGATTTATATGGTGAGTTAAGTCTGCATCTGCAATGTAGATTTTAGACAGTTTAACAAATCCTTGTTTTCCAATGAACTTTATTAGCAGATAATGTGCATACTTTCCCTGGGTCAGGACAGAATAAAGGCTTACAATATTTTCATATTTCAATGTTTTTACAGACTCAAACCATATCTATCAATCAAACAACAAACAAAAGTTAATTCATGAGAGTTTATATACTATATTTATATATATACAGGCACAATTTTGGAATTGACAAGCAAAACTTTTAGTTAAATAACTCAACACGTACTATGAATTGCCACTCATTCAGTTCATGAGAGTCCCCAATACGAGATTCATCAGTCAGAATACTGATGATTTATTGATTTTCAGTAAAGGATATCATTTCTTTGGAGAAAAAACTGTTAATGGGAAATAGTTTAAAAATCAATACACCCACAACATCAAATATTGACTAACTAAAACATGTATTTGAAAAGTATTTTGTCACCAGACGCTTGACTAAAATTGATTGTCTCCATAATTTTCATTTAGTTTTTGGGTTCAGTAATCTGTTTTTATACATTTTTTCCTTTTTGTAGTCATATTCAACAAAATAATTTTTTGAGATTTGTACCTATGCATTTATGTTACTTGATGGAATTACGTCGTATGTGCTTATTGATGCCACGTACATTCTGAACAATGAAAAGTGTTCAAAAATCCAGAATTTCTCGGGGGAAAATCCGTTTTGAACAAATTCAATTCTGGAATTGATATACAATAACGTACACTATCTGAATAGAATCACAGAAATTAATAATTTTTCTAACCAATGCTGTTTCATTTTTTTTATTCCAGACCAGGCAGTAAATTTCATTCAGTTGAATAACAGTGTAATAGAGGTGGATCACTATATTTGTCCATTGTTGATTCCAGCAAATGGCGACTTCCCATCATTCACAGCAATCACGGTGTGTGGATGGATGAAAACGTTATATAGTAACATCATTCCAATTGTATCATATGCTGTACCACATGAACCAGTAGAATTTAGAGTACAATATTACTCAAATAATGCTTCTATAACTTTTACAATAAGGGAACACCAAGTGACCACTAATACCCTGGTAATTGTTGTTGATGGAATCTGGCACCAATACTGTACAACTTGGAAATCGAGCAGTGGGTCTTGGGTGATTTACAGAGATGCTTTGCAGATTGCGTCTGGTAATGACTTTAGTACTGGCAGATTCCTTGTTGGAAATGGTCAGTTTATAATGGGCAGAGCTCACGAAGGGTGGGGAAGTTATGACCAAACCAACCTGTTAATAGGCAGCATATCTGAGTACAACATTTGGAGTAGAGAATTGATCGGGAGTGAAATAATTGACACATTCCATTGTGCGATATCTCAAGCCTTGAGTAATGGAGTGTTCCTATGGAGCAAAGATCTAATAGTTGTCGAGCAGTCTGCATCTGTCCTCAAATTATCAGACACAAATATCTACCAAATTCATGGTAAGGGTATATTGAAGTTTTTTAAATAAATTTTGGAAAATTGATATTCAATCTATTATTATTGAGGCATAGCAGTGTTTTTGGTCTGGTGGATAACGTGTCCATCAAACTTTAAAAAATGTTTTGTCCAAATAAGATCACTGCAGAAATTGACCTATGATCTAAATAAAATAAAATCTTACTTTGGGGTTGAATACCAAAAAACTGTTGACCCATAATCGGTTGCCTCGCATTCAATGAGGAGGGCGATCATGAATGTTCATGTAAATTATGAGAAACCTTGTTTAGGGTATTTGTGTTCGACCTGCCCTGGTTCATACTGGCAACTCTGAATTGTTATGTCATTATGCTAGGAAGATAGTCATACAGCTGTCGCATAGTTTAAATATGGAATATGGTTTCTGTGGCATGATATACACTAGATATACATGTATCATTACAAATTACAAGTAAAAAAGACAGAAGCGAAAAAGGACACATTTTATTTGGTTATTCATCCACCATGTGTCGTATATTAATTAATTTGTTTCATGTCTACCTTTCATATCTGCACAGAATTGTCATATGCTATTTTCGAAGACAATGCATTAGTAATGAATGGCTCATCCTATGCCATTATATCAGAGCAAGTGGTATTTCCAGAATGGCATCATTTCACTATCTGTGTTTGGATGAATGTTTCCACACCAACTCATGAAATGATCATAGCTTCGTATTACTTGCACAGTGACCATGTAGGGTTCCAGTTAAAAATATCTTCAAATGGCAACATTGAGATAGTACTGATAAATTATGAAGATGTTTTAGCAGTTGATCCATCAATTTACGATGATACATGGCATCACTTATGCATCTCCTGGCACTCTTCTAATGGCACATGGTGTCTTTTTATTGATGGTTTTGAGAAATCAACTGGAGTGGGTCTCGCAACAGGTGCGACACCAGATGCCGGCGGTGTGTACATGCTCGGTTCAGGAAGTGAACATGATCACCAACAATCCTTTGAGGGTCAAATATTCCACTACAATCACTGGAGTGTGGTTCTATCAGCTTCTGAAATATCCAAAGTAGCAGAATGCAGGTATGATGTCCTCCCGGATTATCTGCTATTCTCAACCATGACAATGACATTTCTGGTAAACAGTATCTCTCAACTATCAGCTGGCATATGTGGTAAGTATAACTGGAACTAGACAGAATAGTTGCATTGTGTCTGACAACATTATTCTGTGTACATTGTTAGCTCAACCTCAAGTTCGTTGTAGCTATTTATGAAAGAATGTGTATGATTATATCGTAGTTGTATGATAAAGTGTTCTAAAATGAAAGTAGATCCAGTAGTGTAGATTGTGTTTTTATAGGTGCACATTATGTACAGGAATGTTCATTTTTGTGAAAGAAGGTCTTCACAACAGCTGATGGAACAGCAATTGACAATAATACACAAGGACACAAGCCATAATGGTCAGTAGTTTTCACTGCAAAGTAATAACAATTATTATACATCTGTCACCGTAACACCATAAGTTACAGCGTGCCGTAATTTTGCGGTATTTTACGGGGTATTTTCATACTACCATATTAGGAAATGCGAATTCCAAATATGGAATGATTACGCGCGTAAGCGTCCTCTAATAATAAAAACAAACATGGCTGCCACCAGGATTTGACCGGACTCCACACAAATAAGTTCACTGATTCTGTTCTAAACTTTTTGGATTTCGACATTCCCATGATGTATCATTGGAAGGAAAAGATGTATAATAATAAGGTTATTACGAAGAT